AATATTAATTTATTGCTAAAACAATTTGTACTAGCAAACATACTACATACTTATACTGTAACTTATTAAATATTAAGCCGTGAAACGACTTGTATGGCCAGGTACCTTAGCCAAGGTGACTGTTCAAAATCATTAACAATTTCCCGCCGAAATCAATAACCGGCTGTGGACATTTTTTATTCAAATTTCGAATTTAGTCAAAACTTAAATAGGTTATAATTTCGACAACGAAATGTCACATGTTAAACAGTGAACCCCCAATAGTGATTCCCAACTTAACACATTTTTCCACTTATCTTGGCTAAGGGTGCCGTTCAAGCCACGAAGGTCAGTATACGGCTTCTAAAAATTGACCTACGTTTTAAAAATAACGACCTAAATAAATACGTCATAATAACAGTTTTGTACGCGTTTTGGTAGGATTTTATAAGAGCGTCATGCATGACACTGTTCTCATTTCAAATAGGTAACGAGATACGCTGAACATTTCAAATGTGATAAAGAAAAATAATAATTATAAACAATTAAGTAAATATATTAAAATTAAAATAAAGAATAATAATAAAAAAAAATTCCATGATAACATTTCAAACCAACATACGTTTTAAGCAGCTCTAAACTTTTATTATAACATCGATGTATTAATATATACGGTAATCATTATTACAGTCAGTTTTGTAGCGCGCTTAATGACCAACATTTTTTTTAAACGTAACCGTCTGTTCTTTTTATACATATAGTGACTGTCAAACTGTAAAGTAGCAAGTATTACTTGAAATTTTATTTTGGGCACATTTATCTCTATAGTCAGACTTTTAATTCGATTCCTGATTTGACATTGATCATTGTCATTTTGTGAAATAATGATACCACATATAACAGTGTAGTGATGAACACAAAAATCGATTAACAATCAGTGAATCAGTTTCAGGAAGCCATTCAAAAAATTACGGCTACCGAATGGTCTAAATGTGTATCCCATGTTTTCAAAGAAGAGGAAAAAATGAATAAGCTAGATATGTAAATTGACAATAAATATCACAGACACAATTCATAATAAATACATTTAGTATTTACATAAAGTAACAGCGATAGCGATCGCGATGACGGTGACAATTTATAAAATGTCTGTTTTATTTGTCACGTTCCTTCATGATCACATTTTTTATTAATTTCACACACAATTACAAAAGAAAAGTCTCAGATCATTAATTGTCAAAACTAAATTATCGGTTTAAAAATATTTTATTTCCTGATAAACTTAGTTTACGAGAGTAAATTTATAAACGAGAGGAATCGATTCAGAAATATTCGATTTCCATATCGAATAATTTCGCAACGTCACTATTTATTACGTGTCATAACGTTGCAACACCGAAATTGTCAAATCTGGAATGGAATTAAAATTCCGAGTATAGTTTGAGAGTATTTAACAAATTGGTCAACACATAGGTAAGTACATGAGCGTAAGAACTGATTTTACGCATAGTTAAGAGTAATTTTTTGCAATGGCAACTCATAAACATTCTCTGATCTATATTTCATAGGTACCCAAACTTGCATTATTATTCATCCTCTTTTTTTAAGGTCGGTAAATAGTTCACTTGTACATAATTTCATTGACAAATACTAGTAAGTCGCCTCCCGCTCTGTCCCTATGTATGCTTGGATCTTTAATTGATATAATGATTGAAAAGGAAGGTTTAGCTGTATTATTTATAAGCTAAAAAGGAAACTACTTTAAATATAAAATATAACCGACAGTTACGTTTACTTTCCCAAGTGTTTGGTGTATTTGCCTTGGAAGGAATATATTGTCTAGTATATTGGTTTAATTATAATAATAACCACGCGTGGTACCTAAAGAACCCTATAAGCAACTCTGTTCTAAGTCAACAACAATCTAGAAACTTCAATTCCGTATAGCGGCCTACTTTCTCTACGTAACTTTTTATTTATTCTCTCTATCAGTCATTAAGCTTTACAAAAGTGAGAAAATCCGGAAAATATATCTTGTTACAGCTTTCGAATAAAGCGAATTACATTTTGTATTACATTAAAATTACGGTATTTAAATATGTTTGTAAACAGACAGTGCTAATAGAATAATTATGATTACAATATTTTATTTTTATAAACGGCAGCGTAAACAATTTTAGAAAACAAATGTTTTAAAAAGATCTTATATTTGAGTACATTTTCAAAAAATTTCCAAGCCAACGCTGTTTATTTATTTTATATATTATTTTATTGTATAAGCGACGGTTCGCTACGTCGAGTATAAAGCTAATATAAAATCCTACGAGCTACGCTGCTAACACTCGCACAAGTCCACAAATTACCTTAGAACACACGGCTACGCGGCAGATCCATAGTTTACCAAATACAGAGTCTTAATACCACTGAACTCCGCTAGGAGGCGCCTCTGAGCCTTAAGATCACACAAATCTTACCACAGACACACAAATTGTTGTAAATACTGTAATGAGACCTTTTGCCAAAGAGGCGCCCTCTAGTATCAGTTTAGCATTTATCCTATTGCTTAAACACGACCAGAGGCAAAGTATGGCGTCCTAACAATTATTTTAAGTATGAATATTTTGATTTAAATGTTGATTAAGCGAGGTTAAATACGAAATGTTGATGACGTCACAGACATGAAAATACATTATAAGGTACAAACGTTATATGGAAATGCGTATCATATGTATGTCTGTTTCAAAGGAAGCCCATTTTCTTCCATTGTTAGAGCGAACATCTGAAATACACAATTATTCTAAAAGAAAAGAAAAAAAAATTGTGACGAACACACTAAAGTTAACTATATTATTATTATTTTTACGCACTAAATGGAATCACTATATAACTAATTCTCACTTTTCATTTTACAATAACAATTTTATTTAGGAATATGAAGTGTGTTTTTGGAACAAGTATATAATATTTTGTGATGAATTATTACTTTTTTGTATTAGTTACAACATTTTTGCTATTTTATAATATCGAAATCGTATTGGTCTAACATTATAATTGAACAGTGTATTGTATTCAAAAGTGCGATTGAAAGAAAGCTCCAATATTTTAATTTTGGACATCGATAAAAATTCAAAAGTTTCAAACTAAACACTATGTGACAATACTTTATTTAAAACCGTATTAATTAGATGAAATATATTAATATAACAACATTTTTCTAATACATTGGTGCAATAATACGTTAATATAACATAATTGTCGTGAATAATTTCATTACGTATATTACAAGCCTTTCCTATCAGCTATACGGGTGGTTTATACATGGAGAATTTATTGTAAATTATATAATCTAAGCATGTTTTCAGACATAAAAAAAATAATATTCTATATATTATACATACAATACTTTAATTATGAATAAGAATTATGCAGCATATTATAATACATTTTGTTTATGTTGGTAATGGCTCAAGAGGATCATAAGCTTCAGTGGCTACCTCTAGACAAACGCAAAAAATCACAATATATACTAATATTATAAGGTAAAAAATTTGTAAGTTTGTATGTGGAGGGTAATCCTTGGAACCACTGGTCGGATTCCCAAAATTCTTTCACTTATACAGCTACAGTGCTCATGTGTTCCACATCGCGCTTCAAACAAATGGAGCCGAGTAGCGAGTGAAACCGCGCAGGAGTAGCTAGTAATGTATAATGTTTAGGCAAAAAATGAAATCTGAAAACATGCCTAGACATACAATAACTGTATTGGCAATGTACAGTAACAACTATTCACTTGAATACGCACTAAACGATTTAAATATATTACATAATACTGTAATTTCCTAATAATATAATTATTTATTAATCAAGTGGTAATTACTTAAATACGACTACATAAACTATGTTTATACTTTTTGGTACAAATTGTCAATATATTTGAGGTGTTGCCAGTGTATGAGTGGGAAGGAAGGGGCCAAGAATGGTGAAGTTTTTATTCAGTAAGGGACTCGATCCGGCCCCGCTATTACATGATACTGCAACCTTACAAGTGGGCGTTCAATTTTGCGAACAGATATTAAACTTGATTATATGTAATATTTTTTGGTTGGGGAAAGTCATCAAATGACTTCTCCTACCCAGGGTGATAGAGAGAGGACTGTTAGACTTTTTACTGACTCAATATAACCACGTTCCATCTCCTGCTCTAAGCCGAGGCCGCGGTACCTTGCTCCGCAACCTCGGCTGAACATCGGCCCTGATGGGCCCATCTATGGTAGTCTAATAGCGAATTTGAGGCGCGCGCGGAAAGCTACATGCCATAGATATATTATATGTATCTGCCAATATTAGGAGTGACCCGACCCACTTATACACTGATAACAATTAATAAATAATAACATTTCTAGTTAACAAAACATGTACTATAAGGCAACTTATAAAAGTTGTAAGAATTTTAACTTCGCCATTTTATTATGTCTTAGAGATGGTCTATGAAATTGATGTTTTCATATAATTATATTTACGCTAGCAATAAATAAACTAACTGAGGCCTTATTTTGTTATTAAAGTTAAAAGGAATGTCAATTGTTAACATAGTAGACGAATGCAGTATTATTTTATTTGCATTTCTAACTTTTAAGATTATTTTTGCTTAAGTTAACACACATTAAAGAACTATTACAGGAACTTTTTGAAATGTTTTAAAAGTTTCATTCTAGCTGGTATAATGTTTAAGAGTTTGTATTTCGATTTGAAAAGGTAATGGTTGCAATTTTAATATTTAAATAGCTTATGTATGTAAAAGAGTTTTGAAGGAAGGTGCCTGAATTTTCATTTTTTTTAGAGAACAACCATCCTGTCTTGTAACTTCGAACATACTAACAAAAAGGAACACTAATAATAGTTGCTCTTATTTATGTTCAAAGCGAGTATTATTTTTAACGAAATTTTTGTTACAGTCATTTTCATATTTGCTATAACCAGACGGCGCCACTGGCGATTTTAGACAAATACTTGGGCCTTGACTTTAATGGTGTCTTTATAAGTTTGGCTGTTCTCAAAATATCATAGAATCTGAGTATATTATTATTAGATCTTAAAATTCACTTCCTAACTCCTAAAGGACATTACATTTCAACCCTGCAAACTATTCGTATCGTTAATTAGTAAACTACATTCATTTATTTCACTAAATACTGTATGGTGTCAAAACATTTTAAATACAAATAAAACTAAATAACGCAGACTAAGTCTACATTACTAAAACTCTCAACTTGTGCACGTAATAAATTATAATAAATAAATAAATTTATAATCACTGTGTATACTGGTTTAATTTTCACCTGGCAATACTGTGTTTGTAGTTGGCAACACTGGTATTAGAGGGCGACCAGTCTAGTGTTGCAGTCGCGCCATTTTTCTTGTAGTTTCCTGTGTTCCTCGTATTGTTGTTCTGTCACTTGTTTTACTGCTGGAGCGGCCTGAGAGCATGAGTAACAAGAAACTTTAATACATGCATATACTATGTGCTCGTATATATTATATTGTGAACATCGCCTTAAAGCATTGAGGGTACTAACACGCCTTAAAATTTCAATTTTCTTTTAGTTACAAGTTATGCCATCAATTATATTCATTAAATATTTCTAATTTCGTGTCGACCAGTGTTAACGTGGCAGAAAAACCCTCAAAATCTGTATAAAATTATAGAGCTGTAGAGTTTGTTTGTTTATTTGAACGCGCTAATATCCGGAACTACTGGTTGGAATTAAATGATTCTTTTTGTCTTCGTTAGTCTATTTATCGAGAGCTATAAGCTATAAGACATAATGTTACGATCTGTTCTCTAGATAGTTAAATAAATCTTACCTTGATCTTCCTCGGGTCTAAATTTGCGCCAAGATTCTGGACACCCTTAGCCAACTTCGTCAAGGGTGAGAGTACCATGTCCTTAGTGGCGCTTCCTACAGGGCTGGCGATATTCTTGAACTGTCTGATGGCAGACTCACTATGCGACTGCGCAATATTCAACGTGATCTCATGTTGGGAGTTCGAACGAACGTGGAAATTCACACCTTCCGACTGACTATCATCAAAATTCAACTCATTTGAACTGTGAGACAGTTTCTGTGCCAGCATCAAGGAGTTCGGAGGAGCAGGTTTCGCAAAAGCTCCGTCTACTTGGATTTCTGGAGTCTTCGACGATTCAATGTTGAATGGATTAATTTTGTTCACATTACTGGGCGTTTTACTAGCTTGCTTCTCGACATTGGTCACTATTTCAGAGGGAATAAAGTCCTGTGTATCTTGGGGTTCGATTTTTGACGAGTACAATGGATTTTGTATGAGTTCGCAGTCATTGTCTGTTTCGGTCTTCTGTGCTGGTTTCCCTATGTAATGCTGCGTATTTTCGAAGTTGTCCAGGGTTGGTTCGAAGATATTTGTTCTGTTTTCGTCGTCGGACGAGTAGTCCGAACTCATGCCGTCAGAGAGGCTGCCTTTTTTCTTATTGTCCTTGTTCTGGCCAAGGGTAAAGATCTTCTTGGTGCGAGAGGCGCTCTGGTCGAATTTTAACTGTAAACTAGGTCGTGCGCGTGCGTTCAACGAATGACTTAGTTTGTTCAGCTTACTAAATTGCTCTGTCATGTTGGTCAGGGCTTTTGATCCTGAAATTATTAAGGAAAAAGTTTTAGTAAGTAGTCAAAGTGAATTATTTGTACTGTATTTCGTTTTAAAAGTCAAGGATTTAAGTACAAATTGATTAACTTTACTAGTCTCCAAGGAGGACACTGTAATTTTTATTCGTAGGTCAGCATTGAAGGACTTATTCTTAAAATACATACTTATATTGTAAACATTTCACCATTATTACCCAAGAAAGAACTAAAGTCCGGTCGCGGAGCAGGAAGAAATTCGTACAATGGCCTGTTATTACCTGTCTCTGTCACTCTCGCGTAAATATGATGCGTCTCGCTCGCACAAATCCAATGACCGCGGCACTCAGGGATTGTGAACCTTTAACCTACTACTGTAAGGTCTGTTTTGTTTGTTTGAGGTTGTGGTTTTTGGTTGGCTTTGAGTCATGACATGGCTTACTTGACATAATTCATAATTTTTTAACGAACGACATTCCATCTCGGGATGCGTTGCGTTAGTGATCGCTCAGTTTTCGGACAGTAATCTCAGTTATCTTAGTTTGTTGTTATTTGTTAGTTCTCTTTTGTTAGTTCTCTTTCTCTTTTGTTATTAAAATTAACAATAAAGAAATAATTTATTTAATAAGCTAGTATTTTTTTTCTCCTTCAAATATTATAAACTGCACTTTATACAAAAATGTTTGTGACCACTGTCAGTAGGTAAAGAGGTCATTGTACGAATTTCTTCCTGCTCCGCGACCGGACTTTACATTAGAATAACATAAAATGTACATTCAAAACGCAACTCTAACTATACACAAATAAAACTGAAAAGACATAACTAACAGTTTGTGCTTCTGTATGCGACCGATCGCTTGCAGTGGTCATAACGTTTCGATGCATATGTTTGGTTGTAGGTCGGGAGACTATCCTCAGTATCTGTCCAAGTACAGCGCCCGTGCCAGACAAACGGGGCTGGCAGGCGTCTGGGAGACAACAGGGAGGAAGGAATAGGAATGAAATTGGATTTTAAATGGTAAGGAATACGGTCGTAAGTAGTGATGTAGTTTCTACTGATTCGGTGGTGGCCCAGAGAATAAGGCTTCTTACGCCCGGTTTCCCAAAGGCCGATCAGTGTTAAAATCAATTTAATCTCTTGTCAAGTCATCTCATTGGTTGACTGAATTATCAACAACCAATGACCAGATGACTTGACAAGATATTTAACAGGAGATTAGTTAATTTTAGAGTTGACAACCCTTTCAGAAACCGGGTGTCAGGCTAGCAAATACCCATATGACTTTGCCGAGCTATGATTATTTAGACACCACTGACATACGGTGGAGGACAACATCGTGAGGAAATCTGGACTTATAGTTTGAAATCACCAATCCTCTTTGAGCGAGCCTGGTAATTGATGCTCAAGCCTTCTCGGTGTGAGAAGTGAATGAAGTTTCTTGCTCATTCTTCATTCGAATCTGCACTTTGGAATGTTGTCGTTGTAGAAAGAGGGGTTGGTAACTGTCACTTACTGACCTCCCAGAGGTACACAGGTTTTTTTTCATGGGATAGGATGGCAAAGAACAGTTTGATTGCCCGAATGATAACAATCAGCGCCGCCAATGAACACTAGCAACGTAGGAATTACGAGTACGTTGCCGACCTTTTGAGGATTTGGTGACTTTTTTGGGGAGGAGTTGGGGAAGGGAAAGGATTGGGCCTTCGGTTGGCCTACCTCACTTACACGGCGAATTACAACGCTGTGGTTATTTCACGCCGACTTTTGTGAGGCCGTGCCGAAGCTTGTTTCTCCCACACTTAATTGAAAACAAAGCATTAACATAACTGCAGCTCTGAGATTTTATGTTAACTTACCAACACTTCGGATGTCGGCTACGAGTTGTGTTTCGCTTACATTCCGCGTGAGTGTCGGCAGACGGGATAAGTCCAGGTATATTGAGGACCGAGCGTTGCCCGCCTGGCCTGGGTGTACCTGGAGAAAAGGAATATAATTTATATCAACACAAAGTTTATACGTCTGTGTCTAGAATATCTCGTTTAAATGTAAGAAACAGGGCATTGAGACATTAATGCTAAATGCTGACTAAAGACCTGTCACACGGAGACAGGTTTGAGCATTCTACATTAATCATCATGCTTGATTATTGAGGATTGATCAAGGCCCAAGGCTGATTGGCTATTTGTAATAAGATCGAACATAAAATATTCGACATTTTCGGACAATTTGATAAGCAATCATAATCTAGGTAATCGTCATTTTACTGTTTTGTTGAGAGACCTATGTAAGTATATTAATCAACGCCAGGCATTAGGCATATTAACCAAGAATAAAATTTGACTATACGGTTGGTGAGGTGGCTGGGCAACTGGCTGCCATACAACGTGTCGCGGTTTCGATTCCCGCACGAAACAACTCTGTGTGATCTACAAATTTTTGTTCCGGGTCTGGCATGTGTATGTGATATTGTATGTTTGTATCCGCACCCACGACACAGGAGGAAAACGTAGTGTGGGGCAAAGATAAAAAAAAAACACATAGGGTAAACTTGCCTAATTCGTACCACTTAAGGAGAACCTCGAAAATTTTGGAAATGAACAATGATACACAGTTATTTATATTAAGTAATTATAATTTCATTAATATTCTATTAGTATTTCAACAAAAAGTAACGTAAATGTATAAACTTCTGAGAAATAAACAATTTACAAAAACTTAAAAAAAGTACGATTTAAGACCATTTATTTTAAGTCGTACCAGTATATTCTTAAATCGTACTTTGAGATCCTATCATTGTTTTACAGTCTTAAAAATCACAATCTTAATAATCTTCTACTCTTTTTAATCATAATGTACCTAGATTACCTAATTCTTATTAATACTTTATTATTAATGGTCTTTTCCAAATCTTGAAAGTCATCGTAGTACCTAATAAAATTTAGTTTTTTTAATTCGTCCTGCACATACTTCATGTACCCAACTTCACAAAAAAATCATGTTTTTTTAGTTTTTTTAAATAAAAAAAAAAACAAAAAACAATCAAGCAAGTAAGTAGTTAATATTTACTGTGAAATTAAACATTGTTTTCCTAAATCATAAGTACGTAAGTTTTAAGAAGTTGCTGCGAGTACGAATTAGGCACAAGTATCAAATGAATTTCAAATTAGCCGCAAAGAAAAACTGTCAACGAACAAGCCGACTTTACTATGTGAAATTTATTCAGAAATATACGCATCAATATATAATAAACAGTTAAACAACTTATGAACGGTATACTTGGAAGACAGTTCTTGTGAAGTATCCAAAAAATTACTCAAAAAGTGAGAAAAAAATTACATGTTCAATATTTTAGTCGAGAGCAACGTAACAGGTGTTTATTTGTCACATGGCAATCTGGCGGACTATTATTGACATTTTATGCCACCACAGGCGCTGGTAACTATTACTCATGCAGAGATATAGACGAGGTACGATTTAGGCGCAGGTACGAATTAAGCAAGTTTACCTATACTCATTAACACAACCCAGAAACTGAACCCAATTTTTCGGCTTAATTATCAAGTATACATATAAATTAAAACTCACTTTAGATTTCTTCTTCTCCAACTTGACTCCGTCATGGAACGGGATGGGAGGCAGCTTGGCGACGTCCCGCGCCACCATTAGCGACTCACAGATCGAGTGCAAGGATTCTAAAAAAAGAGAAAATGCACATTGTTTTTCCGGGTCTGGGTGTAATGTGTATGTGACATTGTATGTTTGTAAACGCACCACGACACAGGGGAGAGAAAATCCTAGTGTGCAGCAACGTTTTTTTATTTAAACAAAAAAAAAGTGTAATTGCACGTTACCAATGGTAGAGTGTTATTAAAGTTTTCCTATAGTTAAGGGTCAGAGGTTCCTTGACTGATTAATTAATTTATAGCATGACCAAACGATTTTACTATTCTAATTAATTTCAATCAATTAAACTTAAAGTTCAACATCATCATACGTACCAATCATCTCGTCCCTCGTATTGATGACGACGGCCATATTGTTGAAGAACCGCAACGTGGTGGATCGGAACATGTGGAAGTAGCCCGGTTCCCCATTACACGAGTAATGGATGCGCACGCAGTATACCGGCTCCGGGGTATTCTTGCGGCCCACGCTGAATAACTGTAGAGAAAACCATGCTTCTTATTTTTTTTACCTGATGGTAAGCAATCAGCGCCGCCCATGGACATTCGCAACATCAGAGGAGTTTCAAGTTCATTGTCGGCCTTTTGAGAATATGTATTTTAAGGACTTCAGGAAGGAAGAGGATTCGAAGTAATCCAAACTAATATTATAAATGCAAGTAACTCCTGTCTGTCCGTCTGTCGTCTTCACGAAACGAAACAAAACTACTGAACCGATTTCTGTGAAATTTGGTACAGACATGGTTTGGAACTCGAGAACGGACCTAGGAGTTTTTATACCAAAAATCTGCATGAAGTCGCTATTCTACGCGAATGGAGTTGCGGGCAAAAGCTAGTGTCTAATATAGCGGCTATTCGTTAGTTTAGCTATTTGCTTACCGTAGTACAATTAGCATCGAACGGTCCGAGCTCTATGAGCGTGACATCAGCTAAGGCGACACGTTGCACGCCGAGCAATCTGTCCGAAGTCTCGTCGTAGTCCGCTACGTAGTACGCAGAGCTCGTTAGTACTAACACGCTGTCCATCTCCGTCTCATGAGGGTCACCCGTACTGAGGAACAAAGAATGTCCCGTCCAGTTATGATTTAGATGTCTTCCAGGCTAGAGCGAAAAGGCTCTTAATAAACTAGTACGCCTTGCTATCAGGTGGGATTGCAGTCAAGCACTAGTTTATGTGATTTAATAAAAAATGTTTAAAAATGTCCATCATCATCATTATACCAGCTGCTACATGTCCACTGCTGAACACCCCCGCAAGTAATATCAATGAGGTACTATTTTTTACTCAACAGATGGCGCTAATATAAAAAGGTCAGTTTGACCAATCAATGTAGCTGTCAAAAATGTAACGTCGAATGGTGTGATATTGTCTAATTCTATATTGGACGAAAAGACGAGAGCTTTGCATTGTATCTGGTGAGTAAAAGTATAAAGACATACAATATCGTCTATTTGGGGATTTGAGGATATAGGATTGAGAATTGGACCTCCGGTAACCTAACTGTAAGTGTTATTCACACCGGTTTTTTGTGAGGCCGTGGTTTTGTTAAGAAATAGTCTGATTATAAGTCAGGTGTTTAAAATTGCAGATTTTTGATGAGATTCTAATATGTATAGGTATTATTATATAAGTATCTTACTTGGGATCAGCATCAATAAGTCCCCAGGATCCAAGCACTGGTTCAGTATCCACAAGCAACTTCTTGCAGTCGTCTATCAAGGATTTTACGTGCTGAGCCATCGCTGCCGTGTCTGGTTCCGTTTGGTCCTATACCCATTTGAAGATATTAGATTTTCAATTTTATTATTTTGTCATAAGGTCCAAAATCAATTGGAGACAGATCTAGGAAGCTGACATGCTTGCGTCAGTATATATGTATATGAAGAAAAAGGATGATATACAACTTTCTTCGTTTTGTAGAAGAGTTTGTAAGATGCTATCTTATATGTGTTTAATGGATTAAAATAAAACAGTAGCTAAGCAGTATTGAAATAAAAAGTTTGCATTAAAATAATATTGCAAATCAAGCACTACCTTAGAAACAGATAGATAATTAATAAAGGGCAGCAGAATATACAAGTCAACAATCATCATAATATGTTTTTTTTAAATAGCAACTATATCATTGGCACATACAAAACTTATTGAAAGTAACCACACTTGCATTAAGTGCACGCTACTTATGAATAAAAGTCCCGCACTGACTTGAAACTGGTAGAGCTTTTCTCAGTTAATCCAAGTAAGCAAGTCGTTCGTTTCAATATTAAATAGGAAATAATACTATTTGACGTAAACAATTTTGGACGGTCTTGTCGCCTATGGTGTAGCCAGAGGGAGTATCAGACTTTCACTGACTAAAACGCCGTACGCTCTGGTCTGACACGCTGACGTCACAACGTGGTATTCATACAAAATAAGATTTTTTAGAAATTTCGAGAAAACGTATCGAATTTGAATATTTAAAAACTACTCTATCACCAAACTTCTTCAAGTCTAATTAGAACGAAAAGAAAAGAAAAATATACAAGTAAAAGCTACGAGCAAATAAAGGTGGAAAAGTGACTCAAGCCGAGCATGCACGCACGTTGAACATGAGAACCTTGACGGAGGTACATTTCCCGCACTCGGGCACGATCAACTGGTCCGGTATACTGCGGGACTCGCCCGTCATCACGTCGATAGCGACTTGACGGAGAGCGTCCTTGAACGTCGACAGGTAATATCTGAAACAACAATATAAATTTATGACTGTACAATTGGGTTCGACGTTTCGGACTTTTGACGGATTTGTATGTTAAATTATTATTGAAGAGAATATATCGTGGGACGTATTTATTGAAAATAACGACAAAATCACGAGAATTTACTAAGAAAAAGTTCTAGGTAGGGCCGCAACGCGCATGCTGCTCATGAATAAGAGTCCCGTTGTGACTTGAAACTAGTTGAGCTTTCCTTAGTTAATTCGCTTGAGTAAACCGTAATTTTCAATATATGTTGTTCACAGCATTGTATTTCGCCGTGTGAGTGAGGTTACCGCTGACCCAATCCCTCCCCCTCTCCCATACTTTCCCAATCCCTAAAAGGTAAGTGCGGGAGAGCCATGCTTCGGCACGAATGGGTCGGCTCGACCGGAGTGATACCACGGCCTCACAGAAAACCGGCGTGAAACAACCAGTGTTGTGTTTCGCCGTGTGAGTGAGGTTACCGGAGGCCCAATCCTTCCCCTTCCCTAATCCCTCCCCAGTTCCTAAATCTCCAAATCCCTAATAGGTCGGCAACGCACTCGTAACTCCTCCGTTGAGGGTGTCCATGGGCGGCGCTGATTGCTTACCATCAGGTAATCCGTCTGCTCGTTTGCCGACCTATTACAATAAAATAAATAAAAAAAAAAAAAGGCCGGCAACGGACTCGTAACTCCTTTTGGTGTTGCGGGTGTCCATGGGCGGCGCTGATTGCTTACATCAGGTAATACGAATGCTTGTTTGCCGACCTATTACATAAAAAAATAGAAGTTATGCAATTAGTGCCATCACAGAAACCGATCATGAAAGGAAAATGCGTGAAAACATAATATCCAGCTAAATTAGGATGTTCGCAAATCAAGCCATATAGGTAATAGTCTATTTTTATCTCTGTCTTACATTAGTAGTAAGACTGTTGTGCAAAAGAGAAAGAATATTGATAAGCCAAAGTATTAAACAATGAAAATCGACCTTAAAGTAAGAGGGTTTGAGTCATAATTTTAACTAATGTCAATTATTTTGGAAGAAAGTGGCGGATAGTTAAAAGCGTCAACAGCTTTTTATTAGCTTGATAGGAGAGGAGGTCAAAAAGCAAAACGAAATTTCGTTAGTTAAAACAGGGAATATACCGACAAAACGAATTCAAGTAAACGCTACATCTTGATCTAAAATATAATTGAATTATGAAATATACCTAATAAAAAACACATATTTAACCACATAATAAATAAAATTCAAGATTATAACATTACTATCTATATTTATTATATAGTATAAACAATTATAAAACTATTATAAAATTTTTCGAAAATAATAAATGAATGAATTTGTGGCTAAAGGTTTAAATTTATTGATCAAGAGAATAATAATATAAACCGTCGTCCTGTAAAGCTACGAAAGCGCCATCTACTGAGCACAAAAACGACAGCTTTCATTTTCCTTAGAATTATTACCACATTTTGCAAGTACATTCCCTGATCAACACTCGAATAGACTGACCTCCCCATCCCGTACGTAATTTCGGCCCCCAAAAGCTCACTAGTCAGTGTATGTCCAAAGTAGGACGGCATCATTTCTAACTTTGGCCTCTCACTCTCCAAATTCTCAACCAACATCAACGAAGCAGTTTTGACATCCCGCCATAAACTGTCAAAATTGACAACCGTCGCCATATTGACTTCTTGTCCGAGTAAAATGTCTATGGCACATTGCGTCATGGCGTCGTTAAAATGGCGAATGATGAATCTAGAAAATTGGAAAAATAACGTTTTGTCGGTTATGCACTAAATCCCTATAAAGCTTAATAGATTTTTATAAAAAAAATACCTGTTGGCTGATGCGACACCGTCCTTCATTAGTCCTGTGAATTTTCTTTCACCCGTTCGCGTGTAGTCACCCTGTGTTAAAATAGAAACATTACGATCAAGTTTTTAAAATTATTAATAATAATAATATTATCCGCAAGGCAGCTTGTGGCGAGCCGTTGGGCAGTGGCGACCCCAAGGACCTGACTCCCGGTAAGTGTCTTGTTCCTCAAATCCGGTTACTCCTCGTGACTAGCTGGAGTGAACACTGATGAGGAACAAGGCTTGAGTGAAGATTCGCAAGAGTAGGAGTTGATCTCTGTAAGATGCTGGTAGGGTTCCAGAGGGCTATAAATTATACTTGATTTGCGTATCGAGATATCGCTTTAAACGCTGCTGTTCTTAAAATTCCGGGATACATTAATACGCGCGAATCCGCGGGCGGAAGCTAGTCATGAATAATAATGGCATGTTACCTTCAACGCCTTAGTCCCAGCATACTGGCGGGAGATAACATCTCCATTATCCGCCCACATCGTGAGGAACGCCTGTCTCAGGGAGGGAGGGAGGCCACAGCCCGGAGTGCCAAGTCCGAGGCGGCATAATTGTAACTCCAGTACGTATTTTGCTATAGCCGTCTGTGGAGTTAAAATGGTTTAGTATTAATGATGACTCAAGGTCAACTCACACTAAAAGCCCGTCGTAGCGGAGCGCAGTTTCAGTGTAATATGATTTTGAACTTTATATTAATTCATATAAAACTTATAATTGCATGAGAAACTCCGGTGAGTCACGCGAATGCCGATCTGATTTCTATAAACGGAGCATCTCACGCGATACTAAGTAACTAAGTGCGAGACTAACCAAATTCATATGACACTGAAACTGCGCTGCGCTTTAACGGTCTCTTGGTGTGAATTGATCTTTAAAAAGTGATATTTATGTCATCTAATAAGGTCCGTAAGCGAATAAGCTTAACGTCAATAATGAAATTAAAATGTTGAAAGTTATAAGGTCTATATTACTACGATTTAACACGGTCAAAGTAACTACATACAGAAATGGTAAGGGTTTGCAATCAATGGTAGAGAAAAGGAGATGACGGTTAGAGAGAGAAAGCAAGAAAATAAGATAATTTATTTATCTCTCTCTTTCCGACATCTCCATTTCTCAACCTCTCTCAGTCTCTTTCTCTTCACTTCCCTTTATCTTTCTATATTTCATCACCTTTCTTTCTCTATCTCTATTTCTCTTTCTCCTTCCCATTTCATGCACCCAATCTATACTAAAAAAAATTATAAAGCTGATGAGTTTGTTTGAACGCGCTAATCTCCGGAACTACTGGTTCGAATTAAACAATTATTTTTGTGTTTGTTAGTCCATTTATCGAGGAAGGCTTTAGGATGAAAGATCACGCTATGATCTTTAGGAACTGAGCCGCTGGTGAAACTGCGTGAAAGTAGCTAGTCTTTTATATACAACTATCCAAAGTACCTGTACAACATTGGTCCTGTCGAGACAGTCGATGCAATTGACCCGGAACACGCCGTTCTGCGTACATATGAGGCCGCGGTCGTCTCGCCAACAGAAACGCATCTCCCCGATGACATCAGACAATGCGTTGATTAAAATACTCACGTTCTCATAGTGCATGCCGCGACTGGAGAATTTTAAAAAAGGAATGCGATTACTTCGTTATTTTTTTGATATTTTAAATTAGGAATGGGATTTCAATAACGGATATTTTTCCATATCTGTCCTGTTCATTGTGAGACTGTTAATTTAACTGTTGTTTTCACAGCACTGCATTAAGTCAAAAATAAAAACTCCTTTGGTGTTGCGGGTGTCCCTGGGCGGCGCCGATTGTTTACCATCAGGCGATGCATCTGCTTGTTTGCCGAACTGTGACACTAAAACTACTACTAACGAGGATTCCGAAAGTGAGATTGATGATATGATCCATGTAATCGATAATGTATCAGTGGATTGAAGGGCCACATAGTCGTGGGTCACATTCATTTACTCCAGAAACGTAGACCCACGTTGTCAAACAAATTAATATACGCAGCGAAAATGCGCCCGTGCACGGCATGTGCTGCAGTGGACCCGCGCCCGTTTCAATTAAATTAGTCCTCCAAAATTGTATGTTCGTAAACGCACCAACGACACAGGAGAAAATTCTAGTGAGGGGCAACGATTTTATTAAGAATAACAAAATAAAAATATGAAATGAGAACGAGTCGTTGACTTGAAAAGTTGATTTTTGTTACGACATTAACATTCAAATAACAACCTAGCACACTAGATAAAAAAGTTTGAAATACAACTTACCAATACTCGTGAAAGTCAAAGGTAGCATAGATGACGTCAGAACTATTGTACCTAAGTACATGGTTGCCGTACGCCTCCCATATAATGCGTTCCCTGCCCTGTTGTTCCACTAGGTTCACTATACAAACATTCTTGTATATCGACAGTTCTTCTGAAAAATGCTTCCGAAAAGCCGCGTGCGATTCGTCTTCAGCTAAAAGAGAATTATCGACATTATATTTAGGGTGGACATGTACATTCAAGGCGGCTATATCCTTCTTATTTTAATAAATAAATGTAAAAGTTTGTGAGAATGTATGGATGTATATATGTTTGATATTCCTTCATGCAAGAACGGAAGGACAAATTTGGTTGAAATTTGTTATGTACAGAACACAGGCTACTTTTTACCACGCGGGCGAAGCCACGAGCGGAAGTTAGTATTTCTGTATTTGTATATTTAGTAGTGGATATCATGTGTTTTTTTTTGGGAGTGAAATCCTCTCGCCCAGGTTATAGCGAGAGAGAATATCAGACTCTTGCTGACTAAAAATGCCCCCGTTCTTTGAACTGCTCCAGGTCGATGTCGCGGTACCTTATTTCGCTTGCCCCGCGATCCCGGCTAAACTTCAGCCTTATAGGACCCAGGCCATCCGTGGTGGTCTATTTGCTCCCTGGGGCGCGCTCGGCACGCCAAAAACTTTAAATTTTTCAGAGTTTGTAATAATGATAAACTTACTTCGATCCAGACGAGGTGGAGGTCTGAATTTATATTCCGGTTGACTCCAGAAGATCGGTACAGAACCACGCACCTGTAAATAATGTTATGTTGGCCTAGTAGTTAAAAGTTCCAACTACCGACCAAGATCGTCCTGTTCGGGGTCAGACAAAGTTGTTGTTGTTCGTTTCGATTTTCCGAAAGGATAGAAAATTGCATTTATACTCAATGTACTGGTATATGAGTTTGGTACTAAAAAAATAACTTGTGAAAATTCTATTTTACATTGTAAATAAATTCTATACTAATATTATAAATGTGAAAGTTTGTGAGAATGTATGGATGTATGTTTTGTTATTATTTCACGCAAAAACGGCTGGCTGAAATTTGTTATGTAGATAAATGATACTTGGATAATTTTTACCGACTTACCACGCGGGCGAATCCGCGTGTAGAAGCTATTTGTAAATATATGTCCACTTATGTATATCCCTTTAAGTTTTTAGAGATTATAAAATCGTCAAACATTGATATTTGAAAATAGAACATAATACTCGTAATACAGACCACAGTTACAAAATGCCAAAAATAAAAACAAAACGTACAACCAGCCAGTGACCAAAAACTCAGCAGAGCGTAAACATTGAAGTAACGGAACAAAACGAGGTTGTATATAATTGTTATTCTTTATATTATACTAAAGTAATTCTTGCATTATAGTATTACTACATGATAATTACAAGTGTGAAATGTAATTACATAATCGGTTTAAGTAATTAGATGAGCAATATTAATATATTGTGGCTTTATGAACATGATAATAGGTATTCCCTTAAGTAAACTTTTTTAATGAGATATGGCTGCAGACAAGTTTTATTATTACATAGTACATCAATTATATTGCATTATGAAAATTAACGTAGTGTTAATTTTCCTAATAAGAAAATTATACTTTCGCGGCAAACTATTCGGTTCAGAAAAACATATTAGAAAGCTTAATATCATTTTTAAAGACATCCGTCATACGTTGCGAACCGAATGGGCTTAATAAAAAAAAAAAGTGCAGTTGACAGAAGTGACAAAACCATAATGGCCTTATCACAAAACAAGATTTGTCTTTGGACTAGGTTTAAACCATTGAGTCAGGCATTGTATTTTGAACCATATTTTCATCTCTACCTTCAATTCAAAATACAAAAACTAGCTCAATGGTTTAGACCTAGACTAAAGAAAATCCTTGTTTAAAATGGCCGTAAGAGTTCCATTTTGTGCCATTTGGGTACAAAAAAAAAGTTTGTCTATATATTAAAAACCCTTAGAGAAAAAAAAAGAAGAAAAGTATAAAAAATACTTTTTTGTCTAGGTGTGACTTGAAATTAGTAAAGATTTTTTCTAAGTTGAATTAATTTAGAATGAACTGACCTGAACAAAAGACGCCCTATGTATGCTGTCTGAACATATGATGGAGACGATCTGTTCAGTTTCCACGTAGTTGGCCACCTTACCGCCCGGTTCTATACCCCGACGGTTGTACCTGCAAATACATTTAGAAAACGTATGTACGCCTTATAAAACACTACAAAGTATAAAACAAAGTCGCTTTCTCTGTCCCTATATCCCTATGTATGCATAAATCTTGAAAACTACTCAACGCATTTTGATGCAGTTTTTTCAACAGATAGAGTGATTGAAGAGGTTTGTATGTATAATAACATCTCTTATATGGTGGAGAATTTGTTTATCAGCATTGCCCCTGGTGCATAATAAATTTGTTCGCAAGATTAATTTTCGATCACGATTTATGATCAGGAATTATAGATAAAACGTTATGTTTGTCAATCACTTAACACGTTTCTTTTACTCTAAGTTTGGGAGAGCCAAGCTTCGGCACGAATGGGTCGGCTCGACCGGAGTGTTACCACGGCACAGAAAACCGGCGTGAAACAACCACAGCGTCGTGTTTCGCCGTGTGAGTGAGCTCACCGGAGGTAATCCTTCCCCTCCCCCGATCCCTCCCAATCCTTAAATCTCCAAAACCCTAATCCCTAAAAGGTCGGCAACGCACTCGTAACTCCTCCGTTGCGGATGTCCATGGGCGGCGCTGATTACTTACCATCTCGTAATCCGTCTGCTCGTTTGCCGACCTATTCCATAAAAAAAACACTATGATGCATTGCTCGATTCGGGAATCAAACCAAGGTCCTTTTGCTCGGTTTTCATATTTATTGACCCACTTCCTAACAATATACAACACTATTAGCAGTAATTTCCTGATTATGTCAATCAAACGTCAAGGCCGTTTCGGGGAACTGATAATATAATAATGTCAGGTGAATAGGATCCATTACATGGTATTATCGAGAGTTCTGATAAGCGATACGGATGTTGATGACTCAGTATTAGGCATAAAGGACACATTATAATGTTCATTTAAGGGGGGAAATAATTTAATTACTTTTTCCGCTCAGGGTAGGACAAAAGGGAGTGTCAAACTTTTACTGACAAAAACCGCTATTTATTATTATTTTATTATTAACACCAATATAATATTATGCTATCATAATTTTACACTGAATTAATATTGATATTAAAAACACTAGGATTTTACTGTGTCCTGGTTCCTGACATAATAATTTTATGTATCGCAAAAAAATATTCCGTGCGGGATTCTTATAAATTCAGCAGATTCTTATAAATTCAATTATTTCCCTTAGTTATTATTTAACCTAGACATTTTTTTAGACCTATATTAGTTTTCAATACAAAATGGTCAAAGTTAACCGACTTTATGGTACTGCGATCCTTGTTTTCTTTAGATTTTCATCACATTAATACATCTATCATATTAGGGTGCCAATTATTCTAAGTTACCGTCCGTATCCCCGGCCCGGAGCAGAATACTTAGTTTTTCGTCAATCAAGTCAACAGTCGGAAACTCCCTCTCGCTCTCACAGATTTTTGAATGATTTTTCCCACCAAAAAGCATGTCAATCATAATAACAGTAGTAAAACTTATTTATTCACTTACCGGGTGCCAGCCTGATATCTGGACCGCCGGGAAATAAGTCCGAGCGTGAAGGTTTCATCACAGGAGTTAGCGTTTGAGAGAGACTCTGTATTCAAAGGGTTGGCATCTGCAGGTTCCACGGCTATTTGGGACAGGTGAACGTAGCCTTGGATGATTGGTAGAATCCATTGGTCGCAATCTGGACTCTGTTGAGAGAGATTTTGTTTGTGATGTGCATCATCATCTTCAGTAAGAGACAACTGCTGAGCAAAGGCTTCTTCTCTCATGGAGAAGGTTTGGGCATACCTACTGGTATGGCAATTTCAATCTTATAAGTGGAAATTTATATGGATTTAGCTGTCGTGGTTGCCCGGAGGATAAGTAGTCTGATACTCGTGCATGAGGTTACGGATACGATTACGGTCCGAAAGGTGGTAAACTGATGTGACTTTTTTAAAAAAAACATTGCCCCGTACTAGGATTTTGGCCTGTGCCGTGAGTACTTCAAACATTACAATTTCACATACACATGACGCCCAGACCCAGACCAACAATTTGTGGTCCACACAAAAGTAGATCCGTACGAGAAAGGAACTCTTGACACGTTGCGCGGCAGCCAGTTGCCTGGCCACCGCGCCAACCGCGCAGTCAAAGTTTTTCCGTCTTATATTTACTTGCAAAGATTATTTAGTCATCACTGGCATACGGTAAAGGAAAACATGGCTAGGAAATCTGGGCCTGGGTGATTCTCCAAAAAACCTTAACTTTTATTTAACAAGTCATTATCCTCCCAGGTTTTTAAGCATCTTAGTAATTTATTTTATACAATATTTTTAATCGGTTGCTTGTAAGCAGTGGTGAGATTTAATTTAATAAAATAATTATCTGTGTTTTAATCAGCAGACTCGTTAATTTTCGGTTGATGATAATGACATTATTAAATTTTTCTTAATTGATGTGAAGAATCACCCGCCTACAATTTCTAATCATAAATATAAAATCTGGAAGTAGAGGCCTTTGCTCAGCAGTGGGCACATGTAGGCTGGTGATGAAACGGAAATTAAAGTTACATCAATTGTGTCTAAATAATCTTAGAATTAACTTAGACGAACTAAAACGTCACATTAATGTTTGCCAGGTTCGGAACCCCTCATGCTTGAGAAGCTTGCTTTAATGTATGGTCTACCACGACAAGGTTACTGGTTATTATCATGTTATTTGTTTTGAACGAACTCGATTCAATTGCTGATAGTACCTAATGGTTGATAGAGCATATTAAAATACCATGACGAGATAATCTAAGAAGTAATTTGATATTTTACTAATAAAGTAAGTCTTGCTAAACAACAAGACTAGGAATGAGAACAGACCTTTATGGAAGGTTAAAAAGGTCTTGATATCAAAATATTGCTCTTTAGCTTTAGAACTCACCCCAAGAGCGATGATATCCTTGAGCATATGTTTGTTCCAGAAGAATCTATCGTCGACGTGTTTCCACCACTTTGTAATGTCCACAACTGGTTTCCCAGTACCAGCTTCGGATTCCAGTATCTTCTCAATCTCGTACTGTCTCTGGAGACTGTTCGTCAAGTCCAGAGTTCGGGAGTAGTAGAAACTCTCTGAGTCGTCAAATATTTTGAGCAGTTCATCCGTCAGACGTTTCTCGAAGCGCTCCGCTAGCTTTGGGTCCCGTTGTTTCTTTACGGATTGTTTCACCTGTATTAAATTACTGTCATTTATGATACGTTGACTAAATGATTATGTTGTAAGTACACTTTGACATAACTCGAATAGTTTCGAACCTGCCTGGGGCCTATATTAATTGTTATGAGTCGAAACTAGTCGACCTAACTTGTCAAACAGTCACGTAAGTAGGTACCTTAACCGTGCGACATAATGAATTTAATATCTCAAAGTCTCAACGATGGTTTTAATAGGTACTTACTTGAACAAATACTTTTGATGAACAACTTACGACTTATTGATGACGAACTTATAACTTATTATAATTATAATAAAATACTTCTAAAGTAAATACCTAGGTAATTATTAATCTATATAAACTAATAAATAGGAAAGAAGAACAAGATGAATATAACCAAGGGTATGGGTCAACTAAAATGCTCTGGACTTAAAAGTAAGGAAGAATATGTACCAAACAAAAATTATTTAAAAGTACCTACTAGAAATAAGGCCGGATTTCGACTGAGATAACGACGCAAACTACATGGAATCAGGAACACTTCAATGAAAACGTAAACATGCGTACCCTTTTATTATGTCCATGCGTTTTGAGGGATTCTTTCATGGCACAGCTTGGACCTGGACCGGGCTATCATAAGATCAACTTTAAATTGGTTGATTAACATTGCTGCATAGGTAAAATATAGCAACTTGCTTAAAAAGTAAATGATCACCCATAAATTCGAACAATACCCACGTACCTACCTAAAATATTTCTCGAAAGGCTACTCTTCTGAGGCGAAACTACTTACAAATACAAGGTATTTTCTTATAGGTACTAAGCTCAATTAAGACCAATATAATTGTAAACAAATTCAGTCAGGGTGGCATATCGCGAATCGCTATGGGGCGTAAGCCAGAACGCGGCATGGGTTTCGACACAAATTTTTGAGTAAGAAATAATGGATGCATTACATTACTCTCATTACATTACTCTCTAAAAAAGTATATAACAAATAGGCTTAATTAGGTTTTTAAAAATTGATATGTTTTATATGAGTTTTATAACATTTTTATTGAGACCCGGGCCAAAAATCTATCTTAACAACCTTGCGAAAGTCGCAAAATAGGTGCCAATTAAACTTACTAAAACATAGCAAGGTTTCATTTGGCAAGGGATATAATAACATAGATTGACAGAGCTTTCAGTAACAAGCTGAATTTTTGTCAGGAAACTGAATGAAACCAAGAAAATGGTGATGTTTTCTGAAAAAATTTCAAGTTTCATTGATGGATGTTCCATTTGAACCTAATATAGGAAGAGATAACAAGGTTAAATGTGTTGCAATTTATAAAGACATTTAATTGGCAATCAACCAAGCTGTTTTAAAAATATTTAATTATTTTTATTTAGATAACAGTTGGTTTCTAATCAATATTGGAAATTATACATGTGTATGTATTTTCTAAATTGGTTGTATAACTAAGACATAAAAATAGTAGCAGAATTATTAATTTTTGCAAATTTATTTTTGTTAGGGTAATGACGATGTTGTAAAAAAAAAATTAAAAAGCAAGCGCTATTAACAAATAGTTATTAGCAAATTAAAAGTAAAATACTACTTACTGGAAAAACCAAATTCATAATCACCTAAGACATAACAGAATATTCCTTCAATTTTTTTTTACACCTGATAATATATAATCATATGTCAGAAACTAACATGTAATCCATAATTATCTAGCACCACTAATTGCATAAACTACTAATTTTCCTGGAATTTATTTAAATCAAAGTAATGTAAATATTTATACATAATTATGTATAGCTAGTGTATAATAATTCAAAACTTGATTCACCTATGAATTTAATTTGAATTCCATTCTAACAAGAAAAAAAAATATATTACCCTAATAACAATTTATACTTGTAAAAGAAAATATTCTAAAATTAAATATGTATAAGAAGTATGTGACAATTATTAATTCAAATAATTTTACTACATCGAAATTTGGAATTTTGACAAAATTTAGTCATCCCATCCCAGATGTATAAGTATGTCATTCAGTATGATTTTATCCACTAGCTGACTGAAATGTAGAGTTCTAGTGTTTGTGTAACTATGGAGGTTTTTTAACTAAAATAAATATGTATGTAGGTACCTGTGTAGCAGCCTGCTGTGTAGTGGTCTTAATGGTGTTACTAACATTCTTCACAGCCCCAACAGTTTTATTCAGGAATGCCGAGTTTTCAAAAAGCCTTGCTCCCATTTTCTTGTTCAAAGACTTATTGGAACTTGACACAGCATGCATAGACCCATGTTTAGTGCAAGGAGTCAATTCTATTTCCTGATTTACGGGCCCCATATTCAAAAAGCATACTGATTTGATTTTGTATATTGAATGATGGAAGTATATTGTTCCCACAAGAGCACTCTCTTTTATTATCATAAGACGAGGCTCGTATATATTTGTGTGCTCTACCTTGCCCAAAATCCCATCTGTGATCCCCAGACACTCAATATCTTCAATATCAGACAAATCCCATGCTAAAACAAAGGAATCCAATCAGAATTTATGAATCATTCTTCATCACTAATTTACTCAGCGTAACACTTCTTTGATAAGAATTTTAACAAGCGAACTTGAAGTTCATTCGTTTTTATTATTTTTTATAGTAGAAATAGGTCATGTATCATTGCAGTTTCTTAAATTTTAAAGATTTATTATATTCACCTGATCGCACTGAAAATGCCCCTGTTGTCCTGTTCCACCACAAACTTGATTCATTTCTAACGAATATGTAAAACGACTCTGATCTAAATAATTCCATTTTGACTCGATTTATTACACGTTCGATACGTTTTGATTTAATTTCATCGTGTTTATTATTGTTGTATTTTGCACTGATTTGACGTTTCATAAAAGGGGAAGGGGCAGAATCTTATTTTCAGAATGTTGGTAGTGGCACTTTCTGGGTGTAGCCCTTTAGTAATTTTTAATATTCATTAATATAAAATTAGTATGCCCTTATTAATTAATAAAATATATCATATTTAAATATGTTAATTACACTGATGACTACATATATTCCAAATATAATACAAAATAGTCATAGAGGCAGAAAGACGTGAACCTTTGCTGCGTCGATACAGAAATATTTTATTCTGATGTTGGCATTTCTGTCAAATGTACAAACTTCCGGTTTGAAAAAACCTTGCATTTTGTTGAGTTTTAGCTAAACTTGGAGCTATTTGAGTAATTCTTCTACAAAATGGATTGGCAATTAACATGTCGAGTGTGTTTAGAATCTGGGGATATGGTTTCCCTCTTTGATTGGGACGAAAACAATGAACAACTTGGCGACAAGTACACCTACTGCTGCGGCATCGAGGTATGTAAAAATTACCACATCAAAATGGTTGCGATGGCCACCCTATTTGATTTTTTACTACAATAATGTTGCTATATTGGTTTATTTGTAGCGAAATTTGGATTTTTTACTGACATCCCAGAAGTTGAAAATATTGTTTGTTATCATTTGATTCGCAAATAATTAAAACACTCATGTGGTATATTTTATTTTAGGTGTCGAAAAATGATAGTTTGCCAACGCTAATATGCTTGCATTGTGTCGATCGACTGACTTTTGCTTATCAATTCAAGCAACAATGCCTTTCTTCAAACGATACGCTTAAGGAATGTTTAGAGGAGTTCAAGAAGAGCTCTGAAGCTGTGTCAGGAGCTGCTTCGTCCAAAGGTTAGTAATTACAACTGTCCTGATATAATTAGTGACCTACGCCACGTTCCCGCCAAAACATATACAGCGAATGACAGACGCTATTATAATTAACTTAATTATGAATTGAACTTTTATTGCCCTGTCATGAAAAGAATATTACCACGAGAATATAGTATATATCAATCATTTATAGTAACTTACTTAAGTCATCACATTATTTTTACCTATCAGCATAACACAAGTGTCTAATGATGCATTTTTAAGTAGGTGCTACAGAAACAGAAACTATCACTATAAAGCAAGAGAATGGTTTGCTGCTACAATATGAGCTGCCAGTGGAACATGACCCTCAAGGCCAGTGGACTCGGACTCTGGTCAAAACTCCAAACAGTGCAGTGGTCACTAAAGCCCCTGGCCCACGGAAGAGAGGCCGACCAAGGAAATATCCCAATGAACAAGGACAGATTGGTAAGATAATATTTTTTTTATAGGTACATGTATTGTTGCCTATTTAATTCTCAGACTAGCAGCAGCTACTCCCGTGCAGTTTCACTGCAGCTTTATTTGATTGTAGTGTGATGTTTTATAGCCTAGCACTCGGGAACATTGTAGCTATCAATAAGTGAAAGAATATTGGAAATCCCACTAGTGGTTCCAAAGATTACTCCCTATATATAAACTTACAAATTTTACCTCTTTATAATATTATTTAGATTACATGAAATAATATGTATGTATACATATTATTTTATATCTTATTATGATAAGTATTAACATAATAACCTGTTAAGTAGACACTTAAATCTAACAAACTACCATAAAATGGGGTAAAGCGGACCCTTAGTTACCTACCCCTAGTTTGCTCCTAGGGGGGAACAGAATCATGTAGTCTAATTTTGTTCACATTCATTTTCTGGCTTTAAAACTTGGTTTATCTGTGGTCAGGTAACTGACTTGAGCAAAGAAGGTTTTGAACTTTGACAAAGTAGAATAGAAGAAAAAGTGGTTTAAAAAACCTACTTCAAAACACTCGTATTTTAGTCCCGCGCAATTTAAGTTTTTTTTTTTGTTTCTGTGATATTACGCCGGTATAACCCGGTTCTAAGCTAACCTTGTCTCGTGGGTTATTGTAAAAACGCAAAGGTGAGTGAATTTGTGTATTATTTTCCTGCATAATTGGAGAAAAACTTATGTAAGGCAATTACTTAAATTTTCGGGGCTATCAGGGTCACCTCAGGGGTGAAGCGGGTCATAGAAAGGGGGCAACAGAATCACTTGTGGGGCTAACAGACTCAAGAATGGGGGTGTACAGGGTCAAGAAAGGGGCGAAGGGGTTTATTTTTATCAGGGTTGTCGACACGTTTAATGCTAACTATCCAAGGTTTTATTTTATTTTATTTTTTATTTTGATTTTATTTTATTGTTGTAACTTTTTGAGTCCTTTCTTAGGTCATCAATAAAATAATAATATTTTTTTATTTTTACCTACTTTATTTTTAAATTTAATGAATATCAAATACCTATGTATATTAAATACATATTACAATATCATCCTGGTGAGTTAGCATGAGTGCTCAAATAGGTACCTATATTTACGAAATATATTTTATTTGTCTGCAGATATGCCTAGAAATTATCGACCCAAACCGGGAGCGAAATCTCTTAAAAAACATGACGTAGCCATAATTAATCAAGCTTTACTAGACATATCAGCTGGAAACACATCGATACGACGTGTTGCTGAGAAATATGGAATTTCATATTCAGTTTTACAGAGACGCATTAACAAATCAGTGAAACCCCATGGTGGCCAAACGGCAATGACGCCAGAGGCCGAGGCTTTTATTGTAAAAAATTTAAATATTTGTGCGGATTGGGGTTATCCGCTGGACCGAAACGATTTAAGATATATTGTTAAATTGTATCTAGATACATCAAACATAACTGTGAAAAGGTTTAAAAACAACTATCCAGGGCCTGATTTTGTTGAGAGCTTTCTGAAACGACATAGTGACAAAATATCAAAGCGGATATCTCAAAACATCAAACGTTCGAGAGCAGAAGTGTCACCTGAAATGATGAAAACCTACTTTGCAGAACTAGAAAAGTCACTTGAAGGCGTACCTCACTCTAACATAGTCAACTACGACGAAACAAATTTATCAGATGACCCTGGGCGACCAAAAGTCATCGTTCGTCGTGGATGTAAGTATCCAGAAAGGGTCCGGAATTTTTCAAAAGGATGTACGTCTTTGATGATTGCAGCAAACGCTGAAGGAGAACTATTGGCGCCTTATGTAGTGTATAAGTCAACCTACCTTAACGATACTTGGATACAAAATGGCCCAAAAGGAACTTGCTATAACAGGTCGCAATCGGGCTGGTTTGATGGAGAAATCTTTAGTGATTGGATCAGAAATGTCATTATTCCATATTTTGACACAAAAAACGGAAAAAAACTTCTTATAGGTGACAACTTATCTTCTCATCTTTCAGCGCATTTAATAGATCTGTGTAAAGAAAAGGATATACACTTTGTGTTTTTGCCACCAAATTCCACTCATTTAACCCAACCACTAGATGTGGCTTTCTTCCGACCTATGAAACAGGCATGGCGGAGTATTTTGCAGAAGTGGAAAGAAACCGATGGACGGAATTTAAGTTCTATTCCAAAGGGATGTTTTCCTCGCCTTTTGAAGCTATTGATCGATCAGCTTAATATTAACGCTAATTCGAATATACGTGCTGGTTTTAAAAAAACTGGAATTGTTCCTTTAAATAGTGAAGAAGTCATATCTCGCCTTCCAAATGCCGAAATTAATGAGACTGCCCAGATGCTGTGGACGAGTCATTTGTGAAGTATTTAAAAGAAATGCGTTATGGAACTTTGAATATTACTGAACCAAAGAAGAAAAAGAAATTAAATGTTGTAGCTGGTAGAAGTGTGTGTCCGGATGAATTAATTAGTGAAAATAGACCCGAAGAAGATGAGCAACAAACTACAAGTAATATTGTATCGGTGCAGAAAAAAAAGGATTAGGAAAAAAGTCCAAACGGCAATCTTCAAACAGTCGCGTTATTGAAAAATTAATTCCTTTGTCCCTCAATACACAAATACCCCTAAATCCAACAATCAGTGGTGCTAGCACTTCCACGATGAATGAGATTCTTGACATGGATATAGAATCGATGCCTATTGTTTGAGAGGATGATCTGTTGAAAGAGAAGACATTTTGATAGAACAGACAAAAACGGAACAAGACACAAATGTAGGCAAAGATGACAAAAAAGAGGCTATAAAGAAGTTTAAGATCAAAATATTATCTGACGAAATAGTTACACCGAATCGTATTCTTACAAAGAAAAAGAAGACAGAACATAAAAATATGGTGTGCACAACAAAAAAAACCCAAACTGTTTTTTTCCCCAAATGCAGCTCCGATCCCAAGCCGAAGAGGTTCGGAAATGAGTTTAAACTACTTTAATAATGCTGAAAAAATTATGAAGATTTTAGATTTAGAAGATGATTAGGTCTGGCGATGTTGGTGCAAGGGTATATCTATATTATGGATCTATGTACTAAGCGAGAAGTTCTTTTTTGGTTTATTTTATATTGTAAGAATATGTTTAATAAAACAACGTTACTTTCGTATTTATAAGAGCAAGAGATTTTTCTCAAAACGAGAAGTCATTTTGTTTTTGTTTGTTTAAAAAATTGTAAGGATTTATTTTGTAGAAGAACGTAATTTTCCCATTTATAAGAGTGAAATATTTTTATGGAGCTGTTTTATATGAGACTGATTTTGAAATAAGTAATTGTTAGGTATTTATTTACTGGTTTGATTTTTTATTTATGTGTAAAAAAATTGTTACTACTACCTAACTGCAAAGATTAAAGACTGGTTAAACATGGAACATTGTTTTTTTTAACAACCCTAGCTTAAAACCCTCTTCACCCCAGTCCAGAGTCTGTTCACCCCAAGCACGGGGTGAACTGGGGTTGACCAGTTTTTTACTATTTTCTCTGATTTTTGTTAATACGTCATTATAACTATGTATTTTTTAATAAAATTAAGTGTCTTGGAACATTAAAAAAAAAATCCTCAATCTTATTTTGTCAAATTCTCATATATTAATATTGTAAACAAAGTTCAAAAGTGACCCGCTTCACCCCATTTTACGGTACATACTTTCTAAAGGTTGAGATAATGCTTTTGGCTTTTGGTCCATCTTTATGTTTGAATGTATAAAAAGTTTTAAACCTATTTAAGGTTTACAACCTTAAATAAATTAAACTATATTTGGATATGATGCTTTTGCAATGTAAAATATAGGCTAAAATGCCACCTCATATTAAGAAAAGTATCATGGTTGGCTAGAATAATAATATTCTATAACTAAAAAATTATTCAATAAAACAGTAAAACTAAAAAAAAAACCTTTTCTAAACCAAGCAAGTGGTATGATATTCTCATTCTGTCTCCATGGCACCTTTGACACCATGACACCATGAGGCTGATGATGAAGAGCAATTGACATGATTACAGCATAATCCACAGTTTGTTTCCTATTATTTATATGAAACCATAACAAACTAATTATGAACTATCATAAATTATAAAATATGACTCAATGTTAGGTATAATTAGGCTACTGTTTGCAACAGCCCTATCTGCCAATAAATTGTTCAAGATCCAGATGTGATGTGAGTTTATATAAATTCACTTCAGCATATTAAGTAAAACAAATCTCTAACTTTCAGAACTGTCACCATACCAACGGAAGAAGCCGAAAAATCAAGAGAAAGAACAGGAATCCTTAACCACACTCCTTGCAAGTGGTTCTTTGGAACTCAAACAGGAGCCGGTGGATGCTGAGGATGATGCATTTGGTCAAGATGGTGAGCCCCATCAATATCCTATTGGTAATATCTGTTTTATTTTGTTTACATTTTCATTTAAAGCTTTTTTTGGCAAGCCTGATTCAAATCCTTCATGGTATTTTATGATCAGACCTATTATAATCTCTCTTTTTATGGTACTAAATCGAATATATTTTGTGGTACTAAACTATGTGTTGTTTTGTGTTACTATTTTGATATGGATAAACAGAATGGCTTTTCATAAAATATTGCATAAACATTCATTTAATTTTAGTGCTTTGCTTCCTTTATTAATCATTTCACTTTAACTAGCACTTTGTTATTAATGCTTTGTGTTTTTTACATTTACTATGTTTTCAACATTTTAACATCACTATTCATCAAGTAACTTAAAAAGACCAGCTGTGTCATACATAATGGTGGGATTTTTAAAAGTAAAATGTTTGTTTTTTCCGCAGAGTTTGGAAGTACAGAAGATGATCCTGACTTTGAGCCAGCAGCTGACGAAGAACCTGAATCAGAGCCGGAAACGAAAGAGGTGGTAAGTATTCTCCTACTAATATTATAAACACGAAACTTTGTAAATGTGGTACTCTTTCACGTAACACGGTTCACGGTAGTTCACGGTTTAAGTGTGGGAGAGCCATGCTCCGGCACGAATAGGTCGGCTCGACCGGAGTGATACCACGGCCTCACAGAAGACCGGCGTGAAACAACCACAGCGTTGTGTTTCGCCGTGTGAGTGAGGTTACCGGAGGCCCAATCCTTCCCCGCCCCCAATCCCTCCTCAATCCCTAAATCTCCAAATCCCTAATCCCTAAAAGGTCGGCAACGCACTCGTAAATCCTCCGTTGCGGGTGTCCATGGGCGGCGCTGATTGCTTACCATCAGGTAATCCGTCTGCTCGTTTGCCGACCTATTACATAAAAAAAAAACTACTAACACACAGATCCATGTGTGTAGAGTAAACCCCCTGCAGAAACTAGTATTTCATATTATAATCTATTTTACATTTACATTGATAAAAATAATAAAATCATTGTTAAACTACAAAAGCTTTAATAGTTACAATATCGGTTTTTCATATTTTATAGATAACACGGCTAGTGTAGGCTAACTTTATTTCACCAGTGATGAATGTCCAGTTATTTCACAATCACATATCATTCGAACCAAAATTGGTTTCTCCACTGCATTCATATAAATCTGTTTCTTCAATGACTCTTAACTGTAAAAAAGAGCGCATGAAAAGCGTTTGCGTAGTTTTATAGGTATATTTCTATTATACAGCAATATAGGGACATAGCGACTTTATTTTATACTATACTATGTAGTGATAAAGGCCTCGTTCATAGAACCAGCCGACCAGCCCTGCGCCTCCGTAAATGAGCTCAAACAGTTTTTCTGTACGGAAATCAAATAAAGACAGACGTTCTGTACAAAAATTACAAAATACTGGTAGAAAGGTGTAATATGAATAAAAGACTTGGATCTTGGTTACTAACAAAAATGCAAAAAAATGTTCATGATTTAATTATATAATATATATTATTTATGCTTTAATTTTCTTCTAGCAAACTCATCCCCGAAAGCGTGGAAGACCAAGTAAAAACCAACAATCGTATATAAAGCCTAAAACGGAAGATGGTGAAGATGTACTCCTCAAAGAGACAATCCTGGCCTTCTCTGAACCTATTCCTGAACATATCCTTAAACCGAAACCCAAGAAGAGGCATCCGTCTAAGAAGAAATATGTTTATGAGAAGACGTAAGTACGAATTTGCAAAATTACTGTTACAAGTGAATGGACAGTATTCGTAATATGTGCTGGCGGGGATTAAAGGTTACAGGTCATTAGAGCCACCTTGCACCGCCTCGTTGCACGAAGTCCACTCTTTGTCGACAGATAGTCCACAAGTGGACGCCGTTTGGTCCACCAACTTTCTAATATAATCTTATGGAGTAATATTCTCCATTGGTCAAACCAATAAAAGATATTTCAGCAAAATTGTTTTGTTTGCAAACTAATAAATGAATGCATATTTACAGTCACACATGTGAGACTTGCGGTGCTTCGTTCACATCCAATGCGTCGCTACAAGCGCATATACGACGACATCTCGGTATCAAACCATTTGTGTGCAGGTATGTTGTTTTGTAGTTTATAACAAATTAAAATGTAGAAAAATAATTATCTAAAATAATGATTGAGAATAATAAGTAGAGAAAAATAAACGGTTAAGTCCATGGTTACTTATGTATCAACTATAAAAAGGCCTTAAACACCTTAAGACCTATTTCACACCAGGGCTGTGGGGCATGTACAAATACCGCGGCTTCGGCCCGGAGGAGAAGGAAAGACGGTTCTGTCAGTTAGAGTCTGACACTTCCTCACTGTGGAGAAGGCCTAGGAGTATATCCTCCCTCAAATAAAAGTTTGTTTCAGAGCCTTAAGTACCCTTTAAACTTTGTGGCATTACAGTTCATACTCGTACAAATTATGTGCTTCATTTATATGGAAATTTATTTGGTGCATAGTGGCTTACCAAAGTGCCTAGCCTATTGTGAAACAGGCCTTTAATAACGTAGAGATACATTTCACTGACGTGAATTAACTTGTTAAGGTTTTTTATATTTATTTTTAAGAAATATTTGTTCAACTTTCATGTTTTCCATGAGATATGGGTGCGGGTGGGGTTTCTATGTTAAATTATAACTTATCTATATTGATATAAGTACCAATATTGCATACTTATTACACCTGCGCCCATGTTCTGTCGGTCGTTTCGGTACACGTTATTTCAATCGATAATCTACTTTATTGCTTATCAACAATAAAAGGTTTAAATAAACTCCAAAGAACGCACCCGCACCTGCCTCTTATTATAATTTAAGTATCCTAATTTATACTTAATAATTTATCCCTATTTATATTGATCGATTTTTATACTGAACAGACGTGTTTCTACGGAAATATATTTGCTTAAAACTTGTCTGATCAAGTTCTTTATTCATATCCAGAAAACACTATTCTAATTAAAAATTCTGATGATTAAGATAAACAGAAATAATGTATAACACTGTAACAAAAAAATATGTAGCAGCATATGTATGTAATATGCTTTAGTAAGGTTTAGTTTGTACTTGGAAAGTATATGGACACTACATCATAAAAATGTGTAGTGTTAAACACTACACACGAAACTACAGATGTGGTTTAAATACTTAAAACACAAAAACGCTTAACTATTTGACATGATAGAATTTTGAATCCATAGTTGAAATCGCTTTTCTTATTAAGGACATAAAAAAAAATCAGCCAAAAAGGTCTGTTCAGTATACAAATACCCATTCTAATTAACAATAAAAAATATCTCCTTATCTGATTTGGTGGTATGTATGCGCAGTGTTTGCGGGTACGCGTGCGTTCTCAACATGGAGTTGCGTCGTCATATGATGCGTCACACGGGCGTTCGACCCTACAAGTGTCGTGTCTGTGATAGACGGTTCGGAGACTTTGGCAGTCGACAGAAGCATGAGAGGCGAGTTTTTTTGTAATTAGGGATGTTTTAGATGGTTTTGTTTGTCTGTTTGTAGCGCCGTTTGGTTGGAGTGCTTTAAATATTAAACAGATATGATGAATAAAACGCCTTGAATTTGTAATCGCGTGATAACCAATATGTATGTCAACTTAAAATAGTATTGAAATGAAAATGTAGTTCAACTTTAACAACAAAGCGATCTATCTGTTAGGCGGAGGTGGTTAAAACTAATACAGTAATTTACTCTCAAACCTTATCAGACATCAGACATACTCTTTTTTTATATTAAGTATAAGTTAGTAGTAGGAATGATCACAAATTTTATGGCCGATTTATATTTATGTTTCTTATGAATGAATGCATTTAATATTGACGAAACTGCAACCAAACTACACACCAAACCACACTTACCATCTTAACACACATCCCGACCATTTACTCCAAAAATGATTGAAATAGCGGTACCCATACTCGAACAGCAGCAAATGACCGACCGAGAGAAACGTGAAAGGGGAACAACAATATCAACCTTAAGACATACGGTAAAAGGTGCATTTTTTAACTAAACTATCTAGCGTTTGCGGCTTCGCCTGCGTGTTGCGAGAAGCATTGAAGCGTCACATGCAACGTCATACCGGGGAACGGCCGTACAAATGCAGGATTTGTGATAGACGGTTCGGAGACTACGGTACTAGGCAGAAACATGAGAGGTATGTTATTGTGGACTATATTGTAACTGATGTAAGGTCTGAAATTGCATGTTCTTGGAGCTGTCGACTGCGTAATAAGTAATGTATGCAATTTTGATTCCTATACAAAGGTATGTATTATCCCCTTTCATTAACGTTGCAGTGTGTCCTTTTTTATTCGCAGATCCATTCAATTTGTTTTCTTAAATAATCTTTTAGTATGCAGCAATACGATTCAGTGTTGTTAATAAGTGAAGAAAATATTTAAAGCTCAGTGCAATTAAAATTTGTCCCCTATCCTTAATAATAGCCTTCCCACAACAAAGCAATTGAACATATTTCATTACTATATTAATCAAACGTTTTATGCACAGGTTACACATGGGCGTGCGTCCTTACCAGTGCTCGCTCTGCGGCAAATCGTTCACGTACTCCTATGTGCTAGCCAACCATATGCTGACTCATACAGGAGAGAAGAAATATTCGTAAGTACATATAAAGATTGTTACGTGGATTCTGGGTCAATACCTGACAAGTATCTTAGCCTAGTAAATCATTCATTATCAAACAAAATAGGTTGGGTGTTTCATATCTGACTACTCTTAGAAGAAAGAGCCAACAGACTCACAGATGGAGCCCACTAAGGCAGCACCAGTGTAGGTACCGTGGCCCTGTTTTAAGCAGGAAAGGGCATGATGACATTTCCTCTCACACCAAGATGTATCAATTTGAAGAAAAGAACAGAGAACTCCAGTCTTGAATTTGTATGCTGTTTTGGTCTTTGGAATGCAAGACAAACGCATTTTCAGCCAATCATTTTCACTGATATCTGGAAGAGCTCACATGCCCATTTCTTAATTTTCTACTCCTTGTTTATAAAATAATAGTGAACATTAAACTTGCATCTTTATCCATCATATTGTTTGCACACAGTTGCGGTCCATGCAACAAGAAGTTCACGAAGGCCCATCACCTGAAGTATCACAACAAGGTGCACCACAAGGAACTGTACATGCAGCAGCAAATGGAACTGGAAGCTAAGAAGATGCGCCAGCAGATCAACGTCACCGGCCTTTCCGGTGTTATATCAGGCCAGATTGTGGATGGAACATTGCAACTCATACATGCTACATCTGAAGGTGAGATATTCCTTCGATTTATTTCATTGCAAGTGGTGGCTGGCTAATTAGCTGCCGTGCAACGTGTTGCGGAACAACTCTTTGTGTGATTTACAAATTGTTGTTCCGCGTCTGGGTGTGATGTGTATGTAAAATTGTTTATTGGTAAACGCACCAAAGACTGGGAGAAAATCCTAGTGCCGCGCAGCGTTTCTTTAAAGTAAAAATAGGTGTCCATAAATTGGTCGGTTTGAAGTATGTATGTCTTTTTTCCATTGCCATGCCAGTATTGTAACAAATAAGTAGTATTGAATGTTGAATGTCAGGGGTTACCAAGAATATGATAACAAATGTAAGTAAGGAAAGATATACATGTGACACTTAAAATAAATCAAACCATTTGTCAATAAAGGAAAAAGCTTTAACAATAAACTTAAGACGATATTGTATCTACCTATACCTAGGTACCTTCTCTCTATCATAAAACAATACAAAACCCGATATTTTTTCATTAGATGGAGGTGAAGAGACACAGATGCAGGTTGTCGAGGAAGGTGATGAAGGAGGCGATGATTCTGAGAAGGAGACTGACCGAGCCGTCGCCGGCATGCAAGCTGTAAGTTTAAATAATAATAATTATTACTGTTTACACGTTGGTCTAAAGTAAACCTGTCGTTTTTACGCTCAGTAGATGAAACAATGAATTTATTTTTGCAAATAGGCTATAAAACAGCACTTTTAGCTTAAGTGCAGCACAATGTCATCTGAATTTTAAAATTATAAAGCTGAAGAGTTCATTTGTTTTTTTTGAACTCGCTAATCTCCAGAACTACTGGTTCGAATTGAAATTCTTTTTGAGTTCGTTAGTCCATTTATCGAGGAAGGATAAAGGCTATAAGACATCATGCTACGACCAATAGAAGTTGAGCAGCGGGTGTAACCGCGCGAGCATAGCTAATATTAAACAGAACCTGTCAAAATCTTGTATTGCTGTCAACAATACTTAATTCTACTTACAATAAATATTATAATTTCGAAGGTTTGTAAGAATGTATAGACGATTGATACTCTTTCATTAGAAAACAGGTTTTATTGTATATCGCGAGTGAAGGTGCGTGTTGAATCGATATACGTTTTATTAAAACGCTTATTTTGCAAACCGCATTGAGTAATTAACTACAATACCGCCGACGTATTGTGGCGAGTCTGAAGTTAGCCGATTAGCTGCGCAGTACACAATTTTGTTACTAAAGATCCATTGCGCAGACAAACGGCTAACTTCAGACTTGCCAAGATACGGCGGCCGTACTGTAAGTCGAATCATTTCAACTTTTTGCTGTACAACAAAATGTTCAAAAATATACTTTCATACAATGTTTTGACAAGACCATTCTAGAAAGTTTGGTAAAATAAGAAATAAGTATGCTATTTGACACAAAAGTATGATGACTTCTATAGCCTGTATCTAATAAAAACGTAACGTTTTTAATTTTTCAATAAAAATATTGAATTTTTGACTAGTTGGAAACTACCATATTGTAATAAAATATATATTGTTCTAGGTCGTGCTAGACGCAGAATTTTGTATGGACGAAGACGTTAAAGGTGAATGATTTTAATATGTATAAAGAGTTTATAGGTATTTAATGCACTTAGATATAATTCTCTATATATTAAAATATATTATTTGTGCCGCGAAATGTATCACGAATGGTACAAATAAGTATGTAAATATTATTAAAAATGTATAGACTGGTTAAATTTCCTTTAAATAATTTAGTTGGTATTATAGATATGTTAAAGTGCGCGCTTTCCTGTCCAATTTATATATATTATGAACTTCGATTTGAATTATTAATTTACTAGAATGTTTATTAGTAAAAATAATAGTAGCCTGTCAGACATGATTATATTAAGAAAATTAGGACATTCTTCATGTCCCAAACCTGGAGAACAAGACCTGGTTCTCCGAATATGAATAGTACTGTTTTATTTTTTACAAAATTAGCTCTCTAGTTTCTTTGACTTATGAATAAGTTTCTTAATCCTTTTCTGGTTTAGTTTTCTATTTATACTGGTAAACTGTGGGAGAGACACCTCTTCTACATAATTATCTTTGGTTTACACATGGAAAACTTTAATTGGCTTTCAGAAAGTAATAAGTATAAGGAAGTCAGTCAAAGAGTAAGGAAAGGAGTCTAATATATTTCTTTTCTTTGGTTTTCGATTGAAAATCTTATTTAATTTAACTCTAGTTCAGTAAATATTACTTTTATATTTGTACTGTTAAAAAACCTAGATGAACTCAATGACAATTAAAAAATACTTAGTAATTAATTAACTTCAAATAAAGCAATAATGTAATAAGACTTAATTTTGATTCCATTATCTTATTTTTAAACGTGCGCAGCCAGATGACGTCGCGACGCGCACGCCTCTCTTGAATAAGAGTCCCGTTGTGACTTGAAACTAGTTGAGTTTTGCCAGTTTATTCAAATGAGTTAAGTCGTTATTTTCAATAAATTATTATGTTATTTTCACCTTTAAAACTGCATGACATAATTATTGTAATGCAGCACATACAATAAGTATGCATTTTTTTGTAATATAAAATATATAAAAAATATTCATTGACGTTTTACATGGCTCTTATGACACGGTATTGCGTCTGTAAAATTAGAACTAATGAAAGAGAAACTAGTAATCGCCACCAGCCCATTTTCGTGTACTGCTTCGAAAACTGTCTAGATTTTCAGCAAACTATAGTAGAAAATGAATTTGGACTAATTATTTAATCTGAAATGGCAGCTCAGAATTAAAGACTATAGTTCAGTACATAGTTCTAAATTTATAAGTTTTTCTTTCCATCGTCCTAATGGTACCATTTCATATGAAGTTAACAATAGGAATATCGTCAATTTGTGTTCAAGGAAAATGACAATTTAACCTCGGTAATTAATAGAAAGAGATGTAGGTGCTCCTTGGGGCCTTTTCATATACTCAAAACACTCAACTCATACATTTGTATACAAATTGACATCTATTGTAAATTGCACAGTTTGAAAATTCGATGTTATCGGTCCATCGCTATTTGCTCAACAGATGGAACTAGTTACTTCTGGTATTTTCATCCAATAGGGAATAGCTAGTGCTGCCATTGGCCATTCGATTTTTGACAGCTGCAGTGATTGGTCCTGATTGTTTGAAACTGACGTGTGGCTATATTTGTGCCATCTGTTGTTCAAATAATTGATAGTCTCTATTGTAATGTAAAGATATTATAGATATAATCGTTTTACGTGTAACATTTGTTTTTGTACCAAGTGTTTATCTTCATAGAAATAAAGTTTGAGAGAGCAGTTTATCAAGGTTATTTGATAAGCATTTAAAAATATATTTCTAATTTCTTAGAAAATTAAGAACTGTGTATGTTTACGTGTTTGTAACATATTAGTTATTAAATATGACATTAAATTCTCTGGGTAATATTATTACAAGTGTCAGTCGGGATGTATAAATATTCCCTGTAACCTTTTGTAAGAATCATACAAAGGCTAACACCCGGTTTCTGAAAGGCTTGTCAACGCTAAAATTAACTAATCTCCTGTTAAATCTCCTGTCAAGTCATCTGATTGGTTGTTGATAATTCAGTCAACCAATCAGATGACTTGACAAGAGATTAAATTGATTTATCATTGATCGGCCTTTCGGAAACCGGGTGTAACTCTAGTAAAAAAACTACAGATAATGTATTATTGTACGGTATAACGATGTGGATTTTAGATAAAAAGACATGCCAAGATTGTTTTCATTTAATTATTTCCTTGAACTGATAAACCGTAGAACTATTTTTCAACGTCACCCCTCTTATTCAGGGTGAATAGGTACAAAAATTCACTGATTTTTACAGATTCACCCAAACGAATGTCTATTTATCTCGACCCAAAGTAAGGGTTTATTTCAATATTATTAGGTTTAAATTATTTACGCACAAGTATAAATTATTGTCGTATTTGAGACGTTTGTACATATAATATGTTTGTTTGTAATTATCATTTAATATGTTTTGTGTTTTCCTGATTGTATGCAGTAATCTGTCGAGGTATTGTGATTGACGTCAGGCCTCGGATTTGATTCTATCGATTGTGACAACGATGGAATCACATCCAACGCTTAGTTAAGTATAGTTGTGTATTTCACTATTAAAATTCGCAGTAAAAGTGGTTTTAAAGAAATGTGAAACCCGTCATTAGCAATGTACTTGTGAAAAGTGCATGTAAAATATGTCTGCCTTAGGAAGTAGAAGATATGTAAAAATAAAGACTATTTTAGCTTAACATGTGTACAGTTACTGCATACAATAAAATCGAAGTTCTATTCAATATAGCGATGTTTTTATGTAACTTTAAATAAATGTTTAGTTAGGTATAATTGATTACCTATGTAAGCCAGCACTAGATGCTATACAGCGCGCTGTAGTTATACGAGTTATGTTAAAAACATAATAATATAATGTTATTGTAATATGTTTGACGTCGGAGTTATCTATTATATAAATAAAGATCATGGTATATAAATATGGATTTTTCTTGCCCCTGCATTATTTACCATACATCTGCATTGTTTATAGCTTATTCATATGTGACACAATTTTGTCATAACATTTGGAAACATACAAACTTCGGCACGGATGGGCCGGATAGACCGGAGTATAATGAAGCAGCTGTACTTACGTTGTGTTTCGTCATGTGAGTGAGGTTATCGAAAATTCAATCCTTCCCTCCACCCTCAATCCTCAAATCCACTGTCCTTAAATCCCGAACAACTCACAAGAGCCGACAAGAAGCCGGCTATGCACTTGCATTGGTCATTGGTAAACCGTCTGCTCGTATTCAGGCATACAGTAAAATAAATAAGTGACGACTTATTTATTTATTAAAAAAATATTTTTATACATAGATTAAATAGTGGATTATTACTAAAAGCATGTCATATGTTCATACTTTGGTAAGTACGGAGGTGTATGTTATAGGTGGAAAGGTATAAGAAAACTAATTAGTAGAAACATAAGCTTACAGAAAAATAAATAAAATACAAGGTCACTCGTACATCAAACCAAATTAATTGATTTTGTTGTATCTTTTTCAGTACGGATTACGTAAGTAGTATTCATAATATGTGAGCATCTACATTATGCACCTCGGAAGAAAATGCACTCATTTCTAAAAAGCATTCATAAAAAAGTACTCCGATACAAAAAAGATGGCGTCGAGTGAGCGCGGGAAATGTGGAAAAATAAAATACTAATGAAAACGACACGACGAGTTCGAGAGGGGAGCGTTTTTATCTTTTACGTGTTTGTGGGTTACATCAACTTGCAGCATTTCTTGTTTTTATTTAAGACAGACTCATTTTAATTTAGTAAGTACGTTTTATTTACGGTATAATTGCTAAACCTTAGCAATTGCCGATCGTAATAGTCGCTAGCTCTGTATTATATACTATTTCGTCTTCTCGTCAAATAATATCTTCTGATTTATTCCGTTGCGGGCTCCTAGACAGTTATTGAATCCTTGGGACGCAAACGGACTTCAGTGTTTCGTTATTTTCATGGTTGTATAGCTACTGTAAGTTGTTTCAGGCTTACAGGAGTTTAGGGAGTTTGTGACGGGCTTACCCATCACTGGCGGTAAAAAAGGCGTTAATTATAGATACTTAAATTGAATCAAGATTGACACTTACACTGACGCAGTGTGCAATAATTCTCGCGATAATCCCTCTGTATGTCTGTACTTAGACTATCGCCAAACGCTATCGCTAAACGGCAATGGTAATATAATTGTAAAATTATCGTGCTAAGTTATGGCACGGTTACAGTCAGTGTCCATTTAGAATAATTAATAGCATTTCTCACTCGTGCCTTAGTCCATTTAAGGTCAATCAGACCTGAAGGGCCATCTAAAATTCCACTGTACAAAAAAGCTCGTTTCTATTTCCTTCATAAATATTTCAAATGGATCGTCTCCTTTAGCAGAGATACCTAATAATGAATTTAAAATCCTTCCTGATTGTCTACTTAACTCCGCTTGTACCGTGTAGTACGGCAAATCCTTATTGTAACTTTCCAATTTATTTTATCCGCGTTAGAGAAACGAAATTATCTGTGCGTCGCTATTGCCAGCTGTAAATAAAATAAAAATGTAAATGACGACCCGAGCGGCGTGCAGTGTGGATGATTCTTCTACTCCGACTGCGGTTCTCAAAGTGTGCCGCTTGCTTTAAAAAGGATTTTAAAAGAGTTTGTTTTTTTATGTACCTATTTAGTTTTTTTTTTACATAGGTACATGTTGGTACAGTAAGAGATGGAGTACTTTGTTAACTTTTAAACTTTCGCGTTTAATGTTTACAGCATATAATTACCTGCCAAGCCTACAAAAAGTATTTAAATAATTGATTTTCCGCATAATTATATGTTGGAGTGCTTTGTGTTGCTTTGTGAAATAATAGGGCAAATTTACAAGATGTCTGCGGTAATTTCACTAGGTCGGTGATCTCTCAACTCAGGCCGTGGCGTCACTTCTCTCGATCCGATCCGGCCCATTCGTGCCGAGGCATTGCCCTCCCTTTATTGAAGTAAGTCGT